GACTAGCTTGAACGAGGTTTCTACTGCACTAAATGGTGTAGAAAACACGGTGATAAGAACATTCTAGTACCCCTCAATTCGGCGCATCCCCTCAAAACAAAGCGAAATTTCACAAGTACCACGTTTAAGACGGCCATAATGGTGTCATCCGGAAGGCGGGGGAGAACGGAGTCTTCGGAGCTTGCAAGAAAGATCGGACTCTCCAATGGTTACCTCTGGCTCTCAAAAACAGTTATGGAGCATATAAGAAGGAACAACATGGTCCCACGATCGATAGCTCGGAGAAAGTAGCTTCCAGTTTCCTCTGCATTAGTGATGCTACGAGCTTTGAAATAAGGGCGACGCTGCGCAGGTGTGGATTAAAGGACATGGTGCGAATGGTCGAGATACCACCTGAAAATCTGAAGCAGCGACTGGTTCGAAACCGCTGTTAGATCGAAATTGCAAAGAACATCTGAAGGGTCGAATCAAGCAAGTGTAAAGAGTCCCTTGGGTGCTCACAGGGTAGAGTTGCATGAAGGTGCGGTTTTTGCAGTTACAGTTAAGATTCTGTTACGAGAACCTCTTACTTCGGCGCGTAAGACGCTTGAAGCATTGTTCGTAGCGCAGGGTCCCCAGAAATGAATATGAAGTACGGTGCCAAACCGTAGCTAACGAACTTGCGCCTTTTTCTGACCTCTGTGGGTTTTATTTGCTTCTGGTATCACGGAGAGAAGGATAGGGCATATAATCTAAAGCCACCCCTAAGTACCTATGAGTCAGTTCAGAGGCGATCGTCTAAACGATCCCTTGTTTTTGGAGCTTGGTTAAGTGTGCTTAGGGCTATCATGCCCACTTGGGTACACTAGGTCTGGGACCCGTTTCCGAAGCTTATTTGTTGTATGATGTATGGGTAGCGATAATTTTCAGGTTTCCAGCTCTGAAGAAGGCGATAACACCGAAACGTAAGTTGATAGTAGCTTATTTATCATCTTGATAGCAGGTTTTATACAAAAGTTTTATAGAAAGATAACACCACCTTTTGGCAGAGCGTTTGCCCTTTTATATGTTGAAGAGCGTTTTGATCTGATGAATGACTGAATTACTTCCTTGAGCCTATGAAGCCCAAATCGAGCAAATGTTCGGGGTTCATACTAGCCCGGATTGTGCTGCTCCCTTACTTGGCAGGTGAAGCGAGAAAAACTCTCCCTGAAATACATTTCCAGTGTTCCTCAAATGCCAGAGAGGGTCCTCGAACATAGACAACATGAAGCCCATGAAAACGTTTCACAAGCGTTTGGGACACTTTTCATGAAGAACAAACGCGGCATGTGCATCATTGCTCAAACTCACATGTCATGCATATGAGCCTGCAACCCTACCAACAGCTCTACCGTCGCACAGCTCGGCAGGCTGCTCAGTTTTGTCACATGTTCAGCACTGTGGTATAGAATATTGGAAAAACGGTTCCGCAGCCTTTTTAATGGCTGTTTTGCAGATTTGGAATGCAGAATTGAGATGATCGTCCGAAAAAAGCTACATTTCATTTTGCCACTGCGACTCAGTAGATTTTCCTTGTTAGCTGAACTCCTTCACATCCTGACAGCAGCTTTCCTTTTTTCAGCTCACTCGGTCCTGGCACCCTGTTCCTTTAGTTTTTTCCTACATAGTTTGATCGAGTAATCTCTATTTTACTACTCTATATGAGCTTGCCCAAGCTGCTAACACTGATCTCCTTCACAGAGGGTTCTCTCTCACTGAAGGATCTCTAGATGATTGGTAATGGGGCTGCGCGGCGCGACATCAGCTGGCGGATAGGCATAAAATTGCGGTCGGAAGTCACCGGTACTTGCTGAGAGACTTAGGTGAATTGAGGGGATGATCTCCGTTCCTGCTGTGCTGAGTTGATTTGCACATTCTGTCACCTCGCGGGATCACTCAGTTATACTTGTGTGGAGTCTGCGAATGCGGTCGGTATCGCGCATCTACTCAGCCAAAAGTTTGCATTGGACTGAATGCGAAGCAAACGTCAGGCGATTCGGGACCGCTTCAGATAAATGTGCTCCTTGACCACTCTGGATTAGTCTAGTTACGCAGTGTCCACGCAGCCCAGTTACGTCAGAGCTGGAGAAGCCACTCGTGGGCACTCATTTGTCAAAAACAGTAATATAAATGGGGCTCATTTTTGAATCTAAGGGTACGACAACTTTGGTAGGACCGGTCGAGCGAGGCTGCCTAAATCTATGGACTACAACAGGATGCCCAAAAGGATAAGAACGAGGAAACCTAAGTGTACTGCCAATATGTGAAAGCTTACATCGAAAACGTGTACCGAAGAACTGATGATGCGTCGCTGGAGGTATTAAGTACGACGTCGTCGGTCTCCTCGGTCGACCGAGAAGAGAAGGCGCTGCTCATTGCCGTTTTCCGGAGTAAAGACGATCTGTTCTTCGGAGAACTGTCCTCATCGATGCGCATTTGGTCATTGACATCGAATCTTACAAAAGCTTGTTAACCTGAATCAAGTTGCTCATGCACCAACATCAGACTACAAAGAAGAGAACCTTTACGCGTTTTGTATAAACCTGGACCACTCTTTCAAGGCCATCATAAGTGATTCCAACTCTGGTACCAAGGAGCGACTGAAAAACTTTATAGTGGATCACCAAACGGGATGGAATGAGCAATGCGGAAGACTTTTCGAATTTACATTTGGGCTGACACCATTTATTGCGAGTCGCAGTTCCATAAGCACCATCAATTTGATTGTTTTGGAAATCACATGGCGGACAGTCCCATGATAGAGTGGATTGCACGAGCTTTATTCGAGAAATCTACCTTATTCACGAAGTTTTACGCGGGACCAGAACACCGTCTACTCCACACTGAACTCTGTTTTTCGTTGTGCGGAGCGAGAGCTGTGAAAGTTGGGAAGCGAAATCTCGAGATACTTATCAACTGAGTCCACATAGCTTGCTCTGCTAGTCTAGAAAAACTGGGTTATCGAGAACATCGATGAGGAATGTAATCAGTCTTGCACATCTTCACGACAAAGCTGGGAGAGCGGAAAGTCTAGCCAAGAAACGTCTCCCTTTAGGAACTCTTGAGCTGTTACTCCTGCATGGGATCGCGTGAGCTATAGGCAATCATCTAGATGTCCGAACTTGTTGAGCTATGCGTAAAAGCGATAAAGGATATATGAAAGAGAAAAGAGCAGCAGGGATGGGCGAAGCCGGCTAGGTCGAAAGAAGCATACGCAAAGCTCGACGGAGCTCCGCCAAGCAGAAGACCACAAGGACTTTCCTACGTCGTACTGACGAAGCACTTACTGTATCCCGAAGGACATTGGAAAAAGTAACCTACAATCCTGCCTGGATTCCTTCGACAGCCATGTCTACCTGCTTTACTATCACCTTAGTAGGCAAGACGAATATGTAGCTCCTTTGGTTCTCCCTTCCGAAATTCGACATGTTATCGAAAAATTGTAGGAGGCTCAGTTCTGCTAAGATAAAACCAAAACATCTGAAGAGTGTTCTAGCCGTCGTCAGATCTCTGGCTAGGCTCTGCACGCGGTAGCTGTCGTAATGCAAATGGCCACCTCGTGGAAATTCAGTAAGGTTGTTTTGCTGTATAAGAAAAGAGAAGACGACGATATTGGTAACTGTTGTCCAATCTACCCGCTATCTGTAATCAACAAACTTCTCACACGTGTCATACTCAACAGGATTGGCAGAACATTGGATTAAGGACAGCCATGCAAGCAAACAGGGTTTGGAGGAGTGTCCAGTACAATATCACATCCACACTATTCCAAGACTCACTGAAGTAATGCAAGGGTACAAAATGCCGTTGATTTGTGGAAGGTCTTTGGTACTGTCGAGAATGAAATCTGGGCAACCAGGTTGTTCCTACTACATGCATAAGGATGCTTCGTGAGTTGCAGAGCATCATCACGACCATTATTTCTCCCATGTACGAGGAAGTCAATGTCATAAGAAATGTTCGACAGGACGATACCGTCTCCCTCGAAACTTTCATTGAGAGCATAATGCATCCGCGGAATTTGAAGACATATGGATAATCTTCGACTTTCGCTATATACATCATCTCCGCTTTGCTAACGACATTGCTCATATTGAAGGTTGAGCAGACGGAAGGAATGCGGCCAAGTTCGACAACGCTTATCGATTGGTCGGCTCACGACTGGACCTGGTGAAGACGATGTTTGTAGGAAACGGTGACCCTTGATGCTCCCTTTAGGCATAATAGAACGAATGTCTCTGCATGCTCTAGATACATGTATCTAGATAGAGAAATTGATATAATGAACGACCCGACTTCGTTGCTGAACAGAAGGAAACGTGCGGCACGGAAATATTCTAAAATATTGAAGGATTACTGAAGAGGACGGAGAACAGCTGGCTCAGCGCCCACATTCTCACCACCGCGATCCTTTTTTGGCGAACGCCTCGGAGGCATGGACTTTACGAAAGTAGGGTGAACGTGCAGTTAGCTTCGCTCAAAGCCCTCAAAAAGGACGATGCCCGCAATTCCCCTTTACAGCAGGTGCAAAGGGAATCCGGTGCTCCAAGATCGGTCAACTGATGAAGGTCAGGATGTCGTTGCTTACGTTAGGGAATCAAAAGTTAGTGGGCTGGACATGTTATACGACATTATGATGACCTGGGTGACTTTATCCCTCGGCAAGTTACACGAACATCGAACTTCGCCCTTGCGATGGTGAGATTTTTCCACATAAGATCCGAACGAAGTGTATAACATGCATCGTGTCCGTCGAGCAAGCACGTTAAAGTGGACAACTCTGGCTCGCGATAGAGGGAGTTAAAGACATCACTGGTGCTCGCTAGAGGAAACCGATGATAAACGGGACAGCAGGTGGCAGGTTACATGAGCTTGGTGAGCTTTTCCGGAAACCCGTTAAGTACTTACCATTTTCAACTCAAGGAGCATCAGATTAAAGTGAAATAAGCCAATTCAAGCTTACCAATTTCAAAATTTAGTTCGCAGACGGAAATCTTGATGAATGGGTTAACTACTGGTTAGAGCAGCAGAAATTTTCCAACGACTATCAAAGGTTTAGTGTTTTTGCTCCATCTCTAGTGCTTTTATATTATCCACATTGCGACTTGTTTTTTAGAAATGACTCATTCAATTCCTCTACGGCTACCTCTCCATACAGAAGTGCTGAGGGTTCAACAACAGGAAGCGAGCGGTATTCTCTCCAGCGCCAGTTGGTGGCTTTGTTCGAATACGTCTGCATCTTCTGAATTCTTGGCACTAGGGGCGAAACGGCTTCCAAATACTTTGAGTGCATCAAAATTGATCAACATTCAGGGCCAGCAACGAGGAGCTGCACCATTTGCGATTTATTAGTAACCAACAGAAAAAGCGAATTCAAGAGCTGCTTCGAGAGACAGCCATTCTCAATGATCAAGCGACTGCGTTACGGTGCGTTTAGAACACTTGAGTTGGCGATTGGAGCCGTCGGCACTATTTAACCTTTACTGTCCCACACTACTTAGGGGCAAGTTTTCAGCATAATTGGAGACCCAGCTCCACTTGGCGCCGGCGCCTGTGTCGCAAGCGCTAGGCATATTTATGATGAGTGGATGCGGTATTCGTGTTCTACGGGTCGAATTACTCTTCTAGGCAACTTTCTAGTCGGTTTGATCTTCTTGAAAAAAATTTGATAGAAATCCAGTCCATTCTCGACAACGTGGAGCAGTAAAGGGTAAATAGTGTCAAGACGTCATCTCCAATAAGAGCAAATGTCACATTTTTAGCGTGCTTCCAAGTTCCAATAAAATGATACCTGGAGGTATAGTGTCAGGCAGCGTTCTGTAAAAGGCAAGGTCTGCGAACCTCATTTACACCCGATTTGGGCAAACATCCATCCCTAACGGGTCGATTACATCGTTGCAGACTTGCCTGGGGGATTTAAAACCCTGACTTTTGCTTCGGCTGACCACAGCAATTCAGCTATATCAGTTCTCACCCGTTGATCGTCGATTTCCTCGAGCGGGCGCCAGTAACGTCTCTATTCGTCCCTGTCGCGAGCCTGAGTAGTCCAGTGAATCGCAGTCGCTCGAGGGACACGTTTGACCATCTCGTGGCGGCCGTCCTGGTGCTCGCTTGACGTCCCGAAGGATCCAGTCCGTAACCGCTCTGGTCCAACAACCATCACTATATCACACAACGTGTCCGCCCCACCAGGTCTCCATTCCCTTGGCATAATCAACGGCATCCCTGATCTTCTTTCTACGACGGAGCTCGGAACTCCGGATTCCCTTCCGCCCTTCTGTATAAGGAAATTCCGGGCATAGTTTTTCCACAGCGCGTTGAATGACGCTAACTGCATACTCATCCCGCTTTCGTAGAGTCCAAGTTTCTGATGTGTATGTCAAAGCAAGGACCGCAGTGTCGAAAGGGTGAGCGCTTAGCCGGATGTTCTTCGTTTTCTTCACTACTCCCTCGATGTTCTTAAATGCTCCCCGCGCGTTCCCGTGTGCTCAGCTCCGTAGCTGGGTCGTTCATCATGTTGACTTCTCGACGACCTAGATACACAAAGCTGGAGCATTTAGAGATATTCGTTTCGTTTAGCATGAAAGAAGCATTAGGCCTTTCGATCTTTCCACAAGCGTTGTCGAATTCGGCCAGCACTTGTTCCAGGTGCTTGATTTTGGGTGCTATAAGTACGATGTCATCTACAAAGCGGAGGTGATGTAGTTAGCGGCCGTCGACATTCACTCTCAAGTCTTCCCATTCGAAATGACGCATGATATTCTCGGNGCCGGGCCAGGGTTTTGACAATGGCTGGCTGAAGGCCCTTCAGATGTTTTGCTTCGATCCTGTCGGGAGTCGAAGAGATCAGAGTAGAAGTCGTAGATAACCTTCTCCATTGCCCTTCAGGATGCCGTAACAGTTCCATCAGGACGGCGAAGGGAAGTCATCTTGGTCTTATGATTGACAAGCTCCGGCGGGCTCGGCGAATACTCTTTCCAGCCTCGGCGGCTTCAGCCAAAATGCTGCTCTTCTCTCATTCAGGTCTTCCTATATCGCTTCCCTGCATAGCTTCGCAAGTTTGGACGTTAGTTGGTTATTGCCTGCAGCTCGCGCGATTCCACGCTGGCGTATCAGCTCAAGAGTCTTTGAAGAGAAACGTTTCTTGACATCTTCGAGACTCAGCTGTCCTGGCGCAATCGTGAAGATGTTCGATGAGCCGGTCGTATTATTCGTCGATGTTGTCACTGACGGAGTCTTTCCACAATTTCGCCAATAAAGCGAAGTGATCCCAATTGACCAAAGTCTTAGTTCTTCAATTCCTGAATTTTGCAGCTCTCTCTCCACGCACTGAAAAGCGGAATCTAGCGCGGAGGAGACGACGGTCTGATCCCATGTAGAACTTCAGAACAACAGCGACGTCAGTCAGGCAATACCTCCGATTGACGATGATGTGATCTATTTCATTATGGAATTGCCCACCAGGTGACTCACATGTCCATCGAGAATGAGAGGGCTTCTGAAACTGCGAGTTACCACGGTTAGTGTATGTCGATATGATAAATCAGATAACCTTTCACCCTGCTCATCCCATTATTTTCCGAGAGTTACGATGTGGAAATCTTCAGCCGTTCTTCTAGAGCCAATTTTGGCGTTGAAATATCCCCAATGACCCTGAAGGAAGAATGGTCTTCTTTGTAGAGCTTCTCCAAATCCATATAGAACGCCTCCAGCTCTTCTTCATTGTAGCTAAATGTTGGTGCGTTAACAACGAAGATTGTTAGAACTGGGGTTGAGCCACATCTTCTCAATTGCAAACGTCCGATTCGGGTTGTTAAGCCTTCGTACGGATCGATGTTCATGGCCAATTGCGTGTTGACGAGTACACCTGCACCGCCGACGCCTCTGCTGTCTCATGTTCTAAGGAGCAGTTCTTCTTCAGTTCCAAATACAGCGTTCAGTGGGCGGTGCTTTCTCGTCTCGGTCAGTCCGATGACGTCGTACTTGATCTTCCTAGCTTGCATTGTCAGGTCTTCTATACACGCTTCTGATGCAAGCGTCCGTGCGTTGAAAGTACAGATCACCATCTTAGTCCTTCTACTTTTGGGCAAACTGGTTGGCCCCTGAGATTTTAGTAGCTTCTCCTGAGCGGTCCTACCCAACGCTGCCGTATTGTAGGCTCCCTCAGGTTTAGGGAATGAGACCCATTTTTGTTACTGTTTTTGGCATGAACATCCACGTGTAACTTGCCCGGCTTTACCACGTGGGGGGGAGGCTACTCTTGGCCGTGTGGACATGCGGACGTGCCATTAATTTATATACATATACATTTTTTCATAAATATAATCAAATGGATAATGAAAGCTCCAAGCAAAGTTACCATCGAACGGTAGAAATGGCTGGCGAGAGCTTTCGGAAAATAGAAGCCGACATCTGATAATAAAAACGAGCATGTGGCAGGGCAACAAGTTGCCTCCCTTTTGGTAGGCAGATATTTCCCCGAGCGAGTCCTTGTCCTTAGTCCAGAACGCAGTAATTCAGACATAATGTACCGGGGCTTGCCGTGTGCAACTTAACGCGTGAAAAACGAATTCAACCGCGACCTCGGGCGGGCGGATAAGGGGGACTCAAGTAAGGGAGCCGCCATCCCTCCAGTTCTTCGACGACTACTTAAGCACAGCTTTGAACGCGAAGTGACAAGCCGGTCAATATAAAGCCTCGCATAGCTGGAAATTACCGGAACTTTGCATTGGAGCACATGATGAAATACTAAAAAATTACAGAAAAAGCCGTTTTTTTAAACAAGAGTGGTAAAGCGGACACGCCTACTTGCCGTACGTTCGCACACCTGACGCGTTGAGGTCGTAGGCCAGAGGGTGGTCAGACCAAGGTAATCGAGTGAATCTCACCCGAGCGTGAATGGAAACTAGACATAAAATTCTTCTAATCTCGATAAGCATGTCGCATGACATTGATTTTTTATTTCTGGATGTTGAAGGAACTTCATACTCCCCTCTGCGCTCGCGTGTATCGGAAAACGTTGAGCTTTGCCCTTTCACAACCCTTGAATGGCGCAAACTGCACGCTCATCTGCTTGCATGGAGTTCAAAAACTTATGAGTGTGGTTACTAGTTGTGTAAATACAAAATGCCAGAACGATTATTTTCGCTGTATTCTGAAAAACCACTTAGAAAGGTTGACTCTCGTGGCTCATTAGTGAATGAGAGTCAACTTCTCTAGAAGGTAGCAGCTGCCACCAAGTATGAAGAGAGATGAAAATGAAACGCGGGAAAGTCTAATAACAGTTACAGTAGAGGCCTTAACGAGAGGGTTGGAACTATCAGATTAAATCGAAATTGGGGCCTATTAACAGACACTACATATGTTGTTTATGCACATAAATGTGATGCTTAGTGTAATTAGAGCAGATTATTTATAGAAAACCTGAATGCAAAATTATGGGCGGCTTTTCGATGCAATGAATTTGAAACTTCTAAGCTGAAAATAATAATGAAATCTATATGGATATTTGCTTACATAATGCACAATTACAAGCTACAACAACAAGCCACATTCCCAAAGATCCTTATTAACACCGTTTAGAGCACGAAGTCTGCTCTTGGAGTCCCTGAATGTGGCGCGTAGGTATCCCTACTTTATTTCCCCTCAGCCGTTATTGATTCTTGCTTTCTTGACCTGAACTGGGATAGCGAATTGGACAGGTCTTCTCCTAATCAGGGATCATACGGTGGAGTCAAGTGAGGGACCTGAAATCAGGATGGTCGTTCCTTTTTACTATGAAGTTGGGCAGCTAGCGTAGGCACCAACCTCGGGAGAGCTTGGCCCTAGGGGCTGGAGCACCGTCCTGCTCGAAGAACACCGAGCTGTTTTGGGAAGCGAGATCGGATCAGTGCTTTGGTACATGCATCAGTATGCTCTTTGAGTAAAAGTCTTTGTTGACTTTCATGCCAACGCCGATGAAACCACGGCCGTCTACTGTTGCACGTATCTCCTTGAAAACATCAGTTTGCTGTTGTTATAACAATTCTTGTGAGGCCCAGTCGTTTTACTTCTCGAAAATTGGCTTTATTTTTTTCGTCAGTTAGAACGATGAAAGGATGCGTGTTTACTTTTTGAGTGAGTTGGCGAGTTTCTGAATTTTTTGGCTCTGCAATGTCTACTAAGATCGCATATGAGGTGCCATTTCTGTAAACGATAGGGATAGCAATGTAGCTTTTGCCTGACAGTCCTTCCCATCGATAATCCCATAAGTGTTCCGTTGCCCTCCTATTGATGGGTCACCCAAGATTACGATCTATGCGCAAATGAGCGCTCTCATTAATCCTTATTTTAAAAACACTGGCTCTTTTACCCCTTTCCAGTTTGTTTTTGATTTGATGAATCACCCAAGATTTCCTGTATCGTTTCATAGCCTACCATTCGATCATTATCGGGATCGCATGCGATTCTACTCTCCCTTTGGCCTTTTGCATGCGAACGTCTGCAGCTGGAGTTGAACTAGCCTTTACCATCTTTAGGATGTAGGAAGTCCTACCTCGGTGGCGATGCCGATTACAAGAAACTTACTTGTGCAATCAACTAGCAACTGATAGAGTGGAATTTAAACAATCGTTTCGGCCTCAGCAGTTCCGGGATTTTGGCGCCCATAATTTTGAGACGCCCTGTAGTTCACCTTTGTCGACCACCTTCTCCCTTTAAGCAACAGTGGCAGAGATACGGAATGCTGTTCATGCACGTGAAGCAAAGCTGTGAGCGATACCGAGCTCCTTGATTACACTCGTCAATGTTCAACCTTTTTCAACTTTCCCGATGATCTTCTTCTTTTGAAGTCATTCAGATGTTGTCAGTGAGACATGCTGTATTGAAGGATACCACCGCAGTACTTTGGAGCTGTTCCCCGATTCACGAAAACGTTTTCTCCATAACCATCAACTGCCTCGATTTGCGCGTGCTATATTTTGCGAACTTCTGAGCCCTTCTTCATCGGAAAAAATCCAGCTTTCATTGCATGATCAGCTTACGTGTGGCACCAATGCTTCAAGGATTTCATTTATTTCCTACAAGTCGTTAATGTTTTATGTTGTGTTGTGTTATTTTGTTTGTTTATTTATCCATCCCGTTCTTCATTTTTACACACCAGAGTATATGGATGATCTGTAATAATATACAGGGTGGGCCATAAATATGGTAAAAACTTTGCGGAAAGCCGCAATTTCCTTGTTCAGGATATTCTCCAAATCCGCACATTCTATTATGTTTACGACATCCTCAGCTCCCATAACTGGTATAGTGCCCTCAAATAGCCAGTTTTTGAAAAATGGTGAAGCTTCCAAGTCAGCAGGCAGCTGTTCTGACTTTGGCGCATTTGGTGAACCCTCTTCTGGGATCTCTCGTCGTTTCGACATTTCTCACATGATAACCACTCGTATCGCGATGCGTGGACAGGTTCACCACCAGCCCTAGGACGGTCATCTTGTCTTGATCAGAACCCCTTTTCCAAATACAATTCTTTGGGAGTGACTACGGTGCGAAACCTGCAAAAACACGAGAAAAATGACTGCCAAGTTGAATATATGATTTACTTCGATGAGAAAAGTCTTCCCCGAGTAAGTGTAATTGTATCCAGATAAGTTATGAAAGCCTTATGAGCTTTCGAAAAAGAAAGAGGTTGAGAGAACAAATCCGTGCTCTAATCGTACGCAACGCAAGCTTTGACAGATTTTTTCCTAACGAAAAGACTATCGTAGAAGAAATGTTCAGATTTCAGAGTATACCAACGATTCCGACTACGACTGCCGAAGCCAATGAGAGGGGTCAGACCGTTGTTCGTAACCAGTATGCCTCTTTCATGATGGTTTCGGCTGGAATCCATGTCGTCAGAGCGAGATCGCTTATTTTGGTAGAGAACGGTACAAAAGTTAATCAGAACATCTTCATGAGTGGGCATTCCGGAGAAGGTGCTGCAAAGAGCCAAAGATTGGTCCGATGTCCAATTTTTCCCTGGTACTAACTGGCCTACGAATTTCTTATACTGCAGTACAATGTGTCTTTGGGTATGGTCCAACTGGAGAGGTTAGGGGAGCCTGCTCTTCAAAATACAATAGTGTTGCTGCCTCTGAAAAATCGTTGAAATAAGCCCGAGCTGGGGTTCCTTAAGAAAGCGTCTCCTGTACTAATCATAGCTCAAAGATGCTTCGGCTACTCATTGACAGTGTGCCGCCGTCGATGAGTAGCCGAAGCACCTTTGAGCTATAATTAGTACATCAGACGGTTTTCATTTTGCCGATACGATGCATAGTGTGTCACCTGTATCACCTGTCGTCCCGTTGATCATTGACTTCCTCGAGCGCGCACCAGTAACGTCTCCTTTCGTCCCTGTAATGAGCCAGAACGGCCCAGTGAATCGCGCTCGTTTAAGGGACACGAGGTTCAACATTCCCTTCTTTCAGAACATTCGTGAGGGAATCCGACCGCTCGTTGGCTGCTGACCTGGAGTTCGTTTGACGTCCCGAGTGATCCAGTCAGTAACCATCCTGGTCCAACGGTCATCACTATATCGCATAACGTGTCCGGCCCACCTGATCTTCGATTTCTTGGCGTAATCAACGGCATCCCTGATCTTCGTTCGATGACGAAGGTCTGAACTCCGGATTCCCTTCTCACTTGCGTTTATAGAGAAATTCCGACCATCGTCCTTTCCAAAGTGCAGTGAGTAACGCTGACAGCATGCTCATCTTACTTTTGAAGAGTCCATGTCTCTGAGGCGTACGTCAAAGCAGGAAGCACAGCAAAGCGAAAAGGTGAGCGCGGAGCCGGACGTTTTTTGTCTACTTCACTATTCCCTCGACTTTCTTAAATGCTCCCCGAGCGACGCCTTTCATTCTGCACACCTCCGGAGCTAAGTCGTTCATCATGTTGACTTCCCGACGTAGATACAAATATCTAGAGCATTCGGAGATATTCGTTCCAATTAGCGTGAAGGGAGCATCAGGTACAAATTCGTTTTTTATAAACATCGTCTTCATTAAGCTCAATCTCAAGCCGATCTTTCCTTAAGCATTGTCAAACTCGGCCAGCATTCGTTCCGCCTGCTGGATGTTCGGTAAGCACGATGTCGTCTGCATAGCGGAGGTAATGTAGGAGGCAGCCGTCGACCTTCACTACCAAGTCTTCCCATTCCAAATGACGCATGGATATTCTCGAGGGCGGCACTGAAAAGTTTGGGCGAAATAGTATCGCCTTGCCGAACACCTTTCTTCACGTTGACAATGACTTCCTTATAGAATGGTAAAATCCTGGTCGTGAAGCTGTCGTAGAGCTCACGAAGCATCCTTATATATTGCGTAGGAACACCCTGGTTGCCCAGGGCTTCAATTACCGCTTCTGTCTTAACGGTGTCAAAGGCTTTCTTCAAGTCGATAAACGTAAGACATAGCGGCATTTTGTACTCTCGCGATACTTCAATGAGCCTTGTTAGGTTGTGGATATGATCGATTGTACTGGACCCTCTCCGAAACCCTGCTTGCTCGCATGGCTGTCCTTCATCTAAAATTCTGCCAATCCTGTTTAGGATGACACGAGTAAAAAGCTTGTAGATTACGGACAGCAGGCAGATTGGGCGATAATTGCCAGTATTGTCTGGATCTCCTTTCTTGTACAGCAACACAGTCTTGCTAGTTTTCCACGACGTGGGCACTTTGCATTCCGACAGGTACCGTGTGAAGAGCCTAGCCAGAGTTTTGATGATGACTGGTGGTATACTCTTCAGATGTTCTGGTTTGATCCTATCGGGACCGGGCGCTGTACAGTTCTTCATCGACGTGNATTGCCAGTATTGTCTGGATCTCCTTCCTTGTACAGCAACACAGTCTTGCTAGTTTTCCACGACGTGGGCACATTGCATTCCGACAGGTACCGTGTTAAGAGCCTAGATAGAGTTTTGTTGACGACTGGTGGTATACTCTTCAGATATTCTGGTTTGATCCTATCGGGACCGGGCGCTGTACAGTTCTTCATCGACGTGATGGCATGTCGTGTTTCGGAAGGGAGAACCGAAGGAGCAATATATTCGTCTTGCCTAAGATGGTGGAAAGGCAGGTCAACGTGGCTGTCGAAGAGATCCGAGGAGAAGTCGTAACTGTTCTGTCAGGATGGCGAAGAGAAGTCTTCTTAGTTTTGTGATTGGCGAAAGTCCGTCGAGCTTTGCGAATGCTCCCGGCCTTGACGGCTTCGTTCAGAACTGCTACTCTTCTCTCTTCCAGATCTTCCTTTATCGCTTCTCTGCATAGCTTCGCAACTTTGGACGTTTGTTGATGATTGCCTATAGCTCGCGCGATTCCACTCTGACGTATCAGCTCGAGAGGTCGCAGTTAATGCAATTATTGGGGCTTGGTTCCCTAAACTTCATAGCTCTCTCTCCACGCACGGGAAGCAGAATCTAGCGTGGAGGAGACGACGGTCTGATCCCATGTAGAACTCCAGAACAACAGCGACGTCAGTCAGGTAATATAATACTTCCGATTGACGATGATGTGATCTATTTCATTATGGAACTGTCCACCAGGTGACTCATATGTCCATCGAGAATGAGAGGGCTTCTGAAAATGCGAGTTACCACGGATAGTGTGGGTCGACATGATAAACTCGGATAACCTTTCACCCTGCTCACCCCATTATTTTCCGAGAGTCTCGATGTGGAGATCTTAAGTTGTTCCTCTAAGGCCAATCTGGGCGTTGAAATATCCACCACGACCTTGAAGAAAGTTTGGTCTTCTTTGTAGAGCTTCTCCAGATCCATATAGAAAGCCTTCAGCTCTTCTTCATCGTAGCTAAATGTTGGTGCGTTAACAACGAAGATTGTTAGAACTGGGGTTGAGCCACATCTTCTCAATTGCAAACGTCCGATTCGGATTGTCAAGCTTTCGTACGAATGCCAATGTTAATGGCCAATTGCATGTAGACGAGTGCTCCTACACCGCCTACGCCTCTACTGTCGCATGTTCCAAGGAACAGTTCTTCTCCAGTCTCAATTACAGCGCGATGCCTTCTCGTCTCGGTCAGTCCGATGACGTCGTACTTGATCTTCCTAGCTAGCATCATCAGGTCTTCTATACATGCTACCGATGCAAGCGTCCGTGCGTTGAAAGTACAGGTCGCCATCTTTGTCATTCTCCTTTTCGGCCACCTGTTTTCGCCCTGAGATTTTAGCAACCTCTCCCGAGCGTTCCTACCCAGCGCTGCCGTATTGGGTGCTCCCTCAGGTCCAGGAAATGAGGCCTATTTTTTTACTGTTTTCGGCGAGTAGATACCCAACGTGTCAGGCTCAAACGTGGGGCTCGGTTGACTCTGGGGGCTTGCCAAGCTATCTCGAAATGGATGAGAGGCTTTGTTTTCAGAGGCGGTCCCGAATCGCCTCCCAGTTACCTCCCAGTCACTCGAATGCAAGCTTTTGCTGGGCCGATGGGCAGGATACCAAGTGCGCCCACAGACTCTCCACACACGATGCGTGAATACGCCTGCGGGAAACAGAAGGTACATCGACCAGCACGGCAAAGTCAAGGAGTTCATCCCCTAAATCCACCTGCGTCTCTAGGCAAGTACCTGTGACTTTTGGTCGGCGGTTAATTCCCCTACCCTAGGGACGCCTCAAGTAGCCTCGTCACTAACCGGCTGGGGATCCTTCAGTAAGAGACATAGTATATAGTCCGCATATATTCGCTGTGTATAAATGTGAATTGCGGTTTCTGCACGATAATGCCTTAGTTGCCATTTCTATCCCACCCTGTATAATCAAGAAGAAGAAGAAATGAGAGTAGCTTCGAAAATTCGTATAAAGATACTGGAACCTTTAAATCTCATATTATCTTTAAATATAGTGAGTGCTATTGTTCACAACTATCAAAAATGATGAAATTAGTGCTCAGTTATATGACATAACAAAAGGGATGATCATAGGGATACTAGATTCCCTCATGAAGATCCTAATATTAGGTTGATGCATAATTATTGCGGATTTTTTCGCGACTTTTTTTCTCCCGGTAGAATTCAAATATTGAGTTCGGGTATTTTCTAGAAATGATCTACTTGATTTCTTCTACAAGAATATACTCAAGAGTCCATCCGCATATTCGCGAAATTAGGCTAAACTACTTCGAGAAAGATTGGGTGGTGGCACAGTCATTCCGCGATCTCAGTAACTTTTCGGCGATCGAACAATCAGTCAGAGCCAACCAAGAAATGGGATCTGCCCCTAAATCTGCCATATTCACCAGCAGAAACTTTTATGAATTATCTCGTCAACCGCTCATCAAAAAAAATGGCTAGAGAATAGAAGTTACGTCGTTTGGTTGACTTGATGGCCGATGTCAAGGCGTGGATCGCCCGTAAGGATCAAAACTTCTTCGCTTTCGGGATCCGACTAACAAATCAATGGGAAGCAGTGCTTGACATAGATGGTGAATAAGCTTCGGAGTAATTATTTGAATATGTCTTTGCTTAGTATTTCTATAGTTTCTTTAAGTAAAATTCGCTGGAAAAAATCCGCAATAGTTATGCATCAACCTAATATATAGAGGCAGGTAAGATGCAGGGGAAAAAGAAAATATCGAAATAACTGTTTTTGACCACCAGGAAATCATGTGTACTTTCACTAGATCACTTGAAGAACGATCGCCGAAAAGTTACTGGGATCGCGGAATGACTGTGCCACCTTCCAATCTTTCTCAAAGTAGTAAAGCTTAATTTTGCGAATATGCGGATGGTGTTTCAAGTATATTCTTGTAGAGGAAATCAAGTAGATCATTTCTAGAAAAAACCCGAACTCAATATTCGAATTCTATCGAGAGAAAAAAAGCCGCGAAAAAATCCGCAATAATTATGCATCAAACTAATATTTCGAGAATTGAAGACGGAGATTTTGTAGTGACGTATACCGCACTACATTCACGCAAGCGTGGTCACGGGTTGATCCGGGAACGATTTCCGCTAAGGCCGAATAAGCCATCCGTCCCTCCGGGGTCGGTTAATTGGTAGCAAATTAGCCTGGGAGGATAAAAGCTCTGGCTTGTACACCGACTGGCCACCGTAAGTCATTGCATAGGCCAACATTGCATCGACACAATTCTTAATGAAAGTCTGATGCGGGGCGCATCCCTCAGACGGAGATGATTAACGTCCAAAGACTTTATCCCTTATCCTTTTTTTCCAAGGAATAACAAGCCTTCGATTATTTACACAAAATTCCGTACATTAGCTCCTATAATAGCACATCCATAATATAGAAAATATGATTATTATCCTGATGGATAATGGTTTGCTAAAGAATTTACCGTTACCAGTAAAGTCAAAATTTAAAATAAATTCGTAGGTTATAGATGTGCTTTTAAGATATATGTAGATAGATATATGTGTATAATTATGTGCTTAGGTATATCAAACAAATTACTGATGATCGAAAGTCTTAGTTCATCAAATACACTAGTTACAAAGTACATAGTTTTCGCACATGTAGGATGTCCCAAAATGATTGGTGTCAGTTTATGGCAATGTATTTAAATCTTCTCATCACGAATAGCAATGGAATCCATATGCACCTTTGTTTACACCAGTTGAGCTGCGCACGATACCGCGCGCGTTTCATGACCTTCG